ATATGTGCACATTTTCCCTGGAACAGTGAAAAACTGCCTGTTTGTAGGGTTAGGGCTGTACTGAATATTAGACATTGAACAGGCTTGAGGTCTTGTATTCAAGTCAGATGGCTGCGTTCCCAGTAGCCTGTTGATAGTTCCTCTTTTTGGACACCATTTTTGTAAGGTGTCCTATCATCTTCATTCCAGCTATTGCTGCCCCAAGTCCCCCCAGCCCGCTGCTTCCCCTACAGACCCCATGCCTTTGAGTTAGCCCAAGGGTTGGCATGGTGCCACCTGAACTTCATAGGTATCTTTTATTTTTACCAGCAAGGCCTTCGTACAGCAGATTGTCCAAGTTCTTGAATAAATAGATGTTCTTCAGCTTCCTTGGGGAGAGACATGAAGACATTTGTTTTGCCCATCCAGTTCTGGATGGGCAAAATGAAATACCATTAAGATTTCTGTTGGGATTTGGGCTAAATCAAGGATCGAGTCCCCCAGTTGTAACAAATTGTTAAATGTGATGGAAGGGGGAATATTCTAGGCTTTCTCAAGTAGGGATCATATTAGCTTTATTTAATTATCTTTTCATAGAACGCCAAACTTCAACTACGTTGAAACAAATCTAATTTGTTTTTATCCTGGCCCCACCCTTTGCTTTCTCCTGACTCTGTCTATGCCCCCAGTCCTAAACATTCTACGTGGGGAGTCGCCAGGACTTGGCAAGTTCAGGATAAGCATACCCATGTTGCTAATGCTTGGCCCAACATATATACATATTTGCACCAGGTAGGACTCATGGGATGTTAAGCCACATGGGTTATGTTAATGCTCTGCCTTCGTTAATTACTCTGTATCAATAAGAAAAGACTGTTTTGTTCCTTCCAGCATTGAGTTGGGAGAAGGCATTGCTGTATCAAAGCGAAAGCTTCAAAGGTAGTCAGAGCTGTCTCCCAAGTAATTTCTGATCCCCGTATTCTTTCCACTTCAAAGCAGAGCAGTATGTGTGTTTGGGTGAAGGGAAGGGTGGGGGGTGAATCGGATTCCTCTAATAAGTGTTGGCACCAGCTCTGTTTGATATTAGATGCAGAGAACATTTTGATTTGTGATCGCCTTTGAAATCGTTCCGACGACCTTCAGAAAGCGGCCTCTGGTTTCTTGTGCCAGGGATGGGTGTTGGGAGAGCGGAGCGCGCGGGGAGGAAGAGCGAGAGGCCCAACTTAATTCGCATGCAGAAAGACGCCTTGAAATTGTGCTTTTCAGCAGCTTTTTTTTTTTTTAAGTTACAAATGTGTGTCTTGATTGAAAGTGAAAAGTTGAAGAATAATAGACCTGCAACAATGCATTGTTTAGCTCGTCCGCTTCATTTCGACTTGTTCTAGAATGGAGGCTTTACAGGGCCTTGCATATGCCTTACCTTCTTAAAAAAAAATTTTTAAACCTTGGGGAGCATTAAAAGCTGCCCAGATTGAATTATATTGGGCCTTGCCCGCCTTGATGTTGAGGAATTGTTCAGTACCAATTTTGATTGCGCCACCATGGCCACGTTCTTTTTCTATATAGTTCCATTTCTTTTAAAATTAAAGAACCGAAAGGGGAAAGTAAGAGATTTATCCATTGTAAGGTCCTCTAACTAGTTTTGGCAGGTGTAGCTGGAACAGAGTTTGGTGGAAGACTTCACCACAGCTCAGAAGATCATCAACGAGGGTTGGAGGAAGACAGGAAACCATCTGCTTGGCCTCTAGAGTGGCAGCTGTGCTGTGGTGGATTAGGTACCCCTTTGATCACCCAATTATGTGTGAGAAAACAGTGAACCACAGGCCTATATTATCCATCTGGTCACAAGGTGCAATGATGTAACCCATATGAGCAAAGGAGAGTTATCTTGAGTTGCGTTTTTTGCTCAGTGAAGAATCCCAGTTAATATATCCCTGATAGGTAATTGTCCAACTTGTGTTTGAATGCATTTGGCGCATTGGAATGCATGAATGTCCTTAGTTGCACTGTTGAGCTAGATCAGGACTTTTTCTCCAAGCAATCAATGGAAGTCTGCCTTCCTGTAACTTAAATCCATTACTCCACTTCCTGCCCTGCTCTCTGGAACAAGAGCGAAAAGATCTTGACCTTCTTCTTTGTCTTTTCAAGTATTTGAAGAGTGCCGTTTGATCTTCTCTTCTCAAAACCCAGTTCCTTCCATTTCTTGGCAGAGGACTTCGTTTCTTGCTGTTACCGTGATCACAGGCCCCTCCTGATTTGGTGGATTATCAGCCCACGCTTAGAACTGCCTCCTACAGTATTCCTGAGGGGTGATCTCTCTTCCTTTTGCCTCAAGTCCTATAGGGAGCCATGGAGATGACCTTGGAGAAGGCAGCCAAAGGCCATTAGGACAACAGCAGGTGCAGAAGAAGCATCCTTTGAGCCCAGGGAGGTGGGAAGTATTAGAAAAAGTCTGGCTCTCCCCAACTCCCTGGGGTATAAGAAGAAGGGAATGGAAAACACAGGTAGACTTGCAAAATTCTGTTACTATAACTCTCAATAAAGTAGAGTTCTAGTCTTCTTGTGGAGTCAGTTTCCTAATCTGGTCTACCTCGTAGAGTTACAAGCCCCTGGGGAACCACCCCTAGTCTGCATAGCCCGTTTTCTCTCTGCCTCTGCTCCCATTCCTCCTTTCATCCGCTCTCTCCTATGTCGTGCTAGTGATCGTAAGGGCATGTTGTCCGTGACCTCTGTTCTTGTCCTCTGTCAAGTGCCAGGCACATTGGGTAGAATTTGATGAATAAATAATGTCAATAACTAAAATATTAATTGAGCCGTAGTTCTGGCCAGCAGAGGAAAACACGGGGCTGTTGTCAGAGATTTGGAATTTGAAAGGAATTGGGCCATAAGTCTGTAATGGGGGGAGCGGGTTGCATAACTGGTGGAAGAAATCTTGCATCTTTTGCTGGAGTGTGACACGCAGATGGAACTGAAAGCAAAATATGCGCTTGATTATTAACGTTTAAAACTTGGAAGGGAAACCAGCCAGAGAGAACCATCTATTCAGTACAGAATCTGAGCAATGAAACTACATTCTGAATTCAAGGGTTGACAGAACAGCAACAAAGAATCTGTAACTTCACTAAGCAACATTCACAGAACCTCTGATTTAATGACATAGGTGTCACACACACGTCATTTGTAAGATTCAGTGTCCTCACTTGAGCTCTGGTGAGATCTCACACAGGAACCACGATATTTTTGCAAGGTTTGGGTGGACCTGTGTGAAGTTTTGGCTTTCTCACATGAGACCACAACAATTGCATGAAAGTTTGGGGTTTTAAAAAAGGATGATCAACAAGATCTAAACCCAGCCTGAGCTAAAGCATTAGAGCCGTTTTGATAAAGTGACTTCAGATAAGAATGTACTTGTGGAATTTCTAAATTAGATTTGGCTTTCCATATTATAATAGCAAGTGGAACTTGAGTTATTCTCTTGCATTTCATTCCATGTTATATCTTTTGATATACACATGGTTTTATTTGGGATAAATGCTCAGCAAGAATCCAAATAATTAGGGGTCCCTCCCCCCACATAAATCTGTGCTGGCTGGTTAATCCAATATTTCTGGGAGGGGTGAAGCTGTTCTTGATTTACTCCCAACTTTTCTTAAAAAAAAAAATAGCAAGTCTCTACTTGAAGTTAAAGATGGTGCATGAAACTGAACACAATTGCTTAGCGATGTCTAATTTAATTGTCTAACGTTGCCCTCTCCATAATCCTATAAGTCAAAATAAAGGTTTCTTATCTTGATGTTATAGTGTGAAAACATCCAGCTTACAGAATGTATGACTTCACTTGATTTGAACTTGGGCATAACATCTCTCCCCACTTTCCGTCTCCAGGATCTAAATATAATATTTAGCGGAGGGGGCATTTTATTTGGTCCCCACAGGGCAGTTTTCTGCCTTAATTCAGCTAAATGTTTTCTGTGTCACTTGTCACTGAATTACTTATGTTGTGGACACAAGGATGCATCAAAGCGTTGAGAGATGCCCTTGTTGTAGGCACCGTTCTGAGGCTGTTAAATATTCATATGGATCAGCACAATCTGTTCCAACTGAGTTGAAGCAATCTTGCTACTGCAGAAGGCAGGGAACTCAAGAACAACCTGCTTGAGTGAGTTCATATTGGACCAGAAAAATGTAACTCCAGGAGAAACTTTTGAAGTTCTGTACACCAAGGAGAGTTGGTTCTTTAGTTCCTGCCACAAAGAAAGCGAGATCCTTTTGAGCTTCTCAAATCTTCTGCGCTTGGAAGCTAAGCAGGGTCAGGCACGAGCAGTACATAGATTTGTTGGGAATCTCAAGGATGGAGGCTAGGCTAGGAAGTTTAGAAGTCAGAAATACTTTCTGGAAGAAACTAGCAGCAAACCCCATCTGTATTATAGCCATGAAAACAGCATGAAGGTGTCCATGAAATCCCTAAGAATCAAGCTCAAAAAGTCAGTAGCAAGAGTTTGGGCAGAACTGTTCCCAACCGGATACGCCAGATATCAGGGTCTTCATTCCTCTGAAAGTTGTGTTGTGCATAAAATTATGTATGGCTATTTGGAACAGACTGTAGCTCCAGATCCCTCCCTGAGTCTTAATGGTGAAGGATCTAAGTCTCCCTATCTAAAGAAACGATGGTTAGTTCAAAATAGGGATTGCAATTTTTTTTTTAAAAAAATGGAAACTGTAGTTACCAATTAGCCATGATCTACACAAGTCAGTCTTACAGGACCAAGGAAGGAGATTCAAACTGGGGAATATGCAGTCATGGCGCTCATCCTGAACTTCTAAACATACTTAAGGAACCAACTCTTCGGTCTTCCTCGGCCCAAGACTGACTGTAAAGTTGAAAATATTGATTTAAATTTGTACCTTCTGGACATATATCAAGAATAATTGAAGTAAAATAAGCCTATCAAAGCTTGAATGAAACTTGAGTTGTTCGAATTGCTAAGTATGCTAATACAGGATTCTTTTTCTCCCCATAGCTTGATATATGGTCCAAGTCCAACTATCAAGTGTTTCAGAAGGTAAGGTTCTTGGTTTCTAATGGGTACTTCTTGTTTACAGAAATGGAATTGACTTTTATTAAACTAATGAGGTGATCCTAGCCTTGCCCAGCCTGACAGATGTGTTGAACTACAATTCCCACGATTCTCATTTCTGGAGCAGAATGTTTTGTGCAACCAAAAATGAAAAAGTTTGACCTTGGCCAACTTCTTCCAGATCAAAAGGATAGCTTTGGGGAGGTATGAAGCAGCCTGGCCCTTAACTAGCATTAAAACCAGAATAGCACTGTAGTTGGTTACTCTGGAGGCAGGGTGAGAATTAAAGGATTAGACACACATTTTTCTCCCTTCTAAAAATGCAGGCCTTGTGTCAGTTAGAGAAAACTATAATGCAAAGCAGCCAAGAACAGAATCCACAGCGATAATCCTTCATCAATAATGCCTTAAACTTGTTACAGCTAATGAAACAGCTTTTGTTTTGGCTGTTAAAAACTTTTTCCCTGTTTTAGATTTTTTTTTTAATATCAAATGTGTGGGGATTGATCATACCAACTGTCTTGAATGTAACTGTAAATTGAAATGAAGCCAGACTTCAGTGGTTTTCTTTGGCCCACTCACTATTTTGTCCTCGCCACACCTACTTCTCTGTTTTGTCCCGCCCACTTTATCCTGGGCACTGCTCAATGCTGAAGCATGGTCCTTGCCCCCCCCCCAAAGTTATGCCCTCTCTTCCCAGTCGTAGGACATAATTGAATAACATCCGTTATGGAAAAATGCTGTGAGTTATTTATTTATTTACTTATTTATTTATTTATAAAATTTGCATGCTGCCCATCTCCCCCAGAGCTTCTCTTTGCTGGTACTAGAATTGTACATCACATAGGCCATGGTTCAAGGACGCAGCGCTCCGATAAGTTAAGTTTATTGCAAGAACAAGACCATTAAGAAAGAATTCCGGTGACTCCCAGGTTGTGATGGAGTGGTATGGCGAAGGCCGCGCTCGGGGAGATAAGCATTTCCTTACCCCCCAGAATGAGTGTGGGAAGGTGGATGAGGCTGGCACCACCCTAAGGAATTCGCAGCGTTTGCTTGCTGGCTTGGGAAGTTCAGATTCAGTCTGGCGAGATTCTGTCTTGGAGGTGGAAGCTAATAAATGCAATATAACTGTAACTGTACTGTCTCGTGGATTTCTTTGGGCTGAACCTGACACAGGTATAAAACGCAAGTCCTATTTATACTCAAATCAAGGTTCATTTCTTGTGTCCCTACTCCCCGCTTCAGAGTGCAAGAGGCTGAAGGCCTCACACTTGGAGGAGAAAAGAACAATTGCCACTCCTAGTTATAACAGGTTAGTCTAAGTCAGTGTTTCTCAACCTTGGCAACTTTAAGTCCACATAGCTTAAAGTTGCCAAGGATGAGAAACACCGGTCTCGGTCCTGGCCAGTAGCACTGCTGGAATGCTGGGTCTCTTATCCCTGCAATTATATTTATAATAGAAGGCTGGAAGATACAGAAAGATACCTTATGCTGAACGTTTATGTCCTTGTCTAGAGGATAGTATGGAATCCCTGACTATGTTTTAGTATTCCAGGACATTTGTCATAGATAAATTACATCTATTTTACCTCATTTCCCAGGTAAATCCGCCACTTATTTTGGGTTCGTCGCAGGCGTATGTGCAACGTTTATAAGAAAGACTGCCAAATTTGGCCCCAGTGCCACGATTATAAGAGATCAGATGGTTACCTTGGCAGATGATGTTATTAAGTTTTAGGTTATTTATAACTGGTTTATTTGATTTGGATTGTTTTCTGGGTATCTGTGTAACTGTTGGCTTGCTCTGAACCTGGAGAGAAATAAAAGTAGCAGTATTATAAGCTAAGCCCCCCCCCAAAGATAACCCAGCAACAAATAAATCAGGAGGATGTATGAACACTTTGCAGATTCCTGCCACCCCAGAAATGATTAATGATGTCTAATGAGAAAGTCAGCTTTCCCTTTTTCAGGTGGTCCCTTAAAACACCACTTGAATTACTTGAAAGGATTCCAAAGAGGAGAAACAGTGATTTTATTTTCCCTTTGAGTGGCAATGCATTGGGACAACCGAGATGTGCATGCAGACCCCAGACCCCTTTATTCTGCTTCACCCCCAACCCTCCGAATCAACTTTGTACCGTGCTGCCAAAATTGGGGGAAACCCCCCTGATTTTTGTGGTGCGATTGGTATGGAGAAGCTCTAGCCAAAATGGTCGGCGCGGTCCACTCTGTGACACTGTGTCGCAGGACACCCCCAACAATCCTCAGAAGCCGAAATAAGGAATGGAATTGAAAAAGGACGAGAACTGCCCCCGTCCCACCCCACCCCAATTTTGAAAAGGTTTCCTGAATATGCATGAAAGCAACATCTGGAGCTGATAAAGTTCCTATTTCTCGAAGCTGGCAAAATGGGAAGGTCTGTCGCTTCAGGTTTAAAGAGCGCAAATCGCTCTCCCCCACCCCACGAGTCAACCCTGTCGTAAGGACCCAGCCCTGCCCACACTTCATTGTTTGCAAACTCCGGTGAGATCTTTTCTTGGTTATTAAGCTCCCTGGATGTGTTTAATTTGATGGGGCGGGGGGTCAAGTTCCCAGAAGACCCATTATAGCTAAAACATTCAGATATTTCCCAAAGTTCATCCCCAGAGATTTTCCTGAGCAGCCTTGGTTGAGCTTTTGTTAGTCTTAACAGACCAGCAGGGAGAGTTGGAGAGAATAGAGCTGCAGAATGCAAGCTGGAAACTCTAAAGGGCGGAATCACAAAGAGCCAGGAGAAGTTTGGGGCATCTCCGCCTCTTCCTGACATTTTAAACTCTGCAGGTGAAAAAGCAGGGGTGATCTCTAACCTTTTTATTAACGCTCAGACATGTATCCACTGAAATAAACAAGAAAAGAACTCCGGTTGGGATGGGCAGAGAGTCCTTCGCCCCACTCCGTTCCAAAGGCTGGCAACAGGCTTTACAATATGAAAATAAAACTTTTGCAATGTTGAACGATTTAATATCCTTGTGATGTGATGTGGTGTGGTGTGGTGTGGTGTGGTGTGGTTTGGCTAAAATATTCCCATGACATTTTACAGCAAATGCAGACTAGCCCAAGAAAAATCAAGGAATCACAGAATCATACAGTTGGACTTTGGAGGTCTTCTAGACCACCCCTGCCCAAGGCAGGAATCCTCAGACTATCCCAGACTAATGGCTGTCCCACCTTTGCTTAAAACTCTCCAGTGATGGAGCCCCACAACTCCAGGAGACAAACTGGTCCACTGTTCACAGCTGTCATGATCAGGAAATTCCTTCTTACCTTGAGTTTGGATCTCCCTCTGCAAAGCTTCCACCCATTAGCTGTTGTCCTACCCTTGGACATTATGGAGAACAGAATCATAGAATCCTAGGTTGTGACGGACCTTCAAGGTCTTCTACTCCAACCCCCTGTCCAGGGCAAGTATCCTCAGACTATCCCAGACCAATGGCCATCCACCTTTCACTTGAAGCATTCAGGAATGAAGACCCCAAAAGTCCAGAAGACAGGTTGCTCCACTGCTGAATAGCTCTCATGGTCAGTTTGGATCTCCTCCTCCTGTGAAGCTTCCACTCGTTGGCTCTTGTCATTTTGAAAGCCATCTCCCAAACCTCTTCAACAAAGAGACACTTTTTAATTGGCTGCAAGGGCACCCACCAGTAACTAAAATTTTGGAAAGCTGTGTGACAAAGAAAGAGAGCAGCTGAAGGTTTGGATTGGGTTGTTTATGGGCTATGGGGTATCCCTTTATAGTCATCCAGGGCTCCCTGTTAAATCATTTTTGTCAATAGAAATTAAGGTTCATTCCCCTCAATTCTGAGAATTCTTTCTCCAGTTGATGTATGGATGGTATTTAATATCTGATAGTTTACTTAACTCTTTCTCTCCCCTGGCTGTAGGTGAGGTATAGTGTGTGTGTGTGTGTGTGTGTGTGTGTGTGTATGGACGGACAGACGGACGGGTGGACAGAGATGGAAGACATGGATGGATGGATGGATGGATGGGTGGATGGACAAGGCAAATAGAAGGGATGGATGGATGGATGGATGGATGGATGGATGGATGGATGGACA